GAGGATGTGATAAGGAACCATCATGGAGGCCGAGAATGACCCCTCACCAGACACTAAATCTGCTGGTGCCTCAATCTTCCACTTCCTTTCCAGCCTCCAGAACCCTGAGACATAAATTTCTATTGTTTACAAATTGCCCAATCTAAGGTACTTTGTTAAGCAGTAGGAACAGACCGAGACAGGCACATTGTGAACATCTAGAACCAGTCCCCCTGGAGTCCTATTGATGTGAGCTAGAATTTATAGCCATTCTTGTGAAAGAGCGCTTGAGACCAAATTAGAGGAAAATATAACGTGTTGGCACTCTATTTGACAGTCTTGGCAGGGCATCAACCATCAGCTGTGGGAGCACGCCATATTGAATGTCCAGCTCCATTGAGCCTTCAAATGACTGCAGCCCAGCTAACACTGACCTTAACTGCAGGAAAGATACTAAGTGAAAAATGTCCCAGCCAGGCTTTTCTCAAATTCCCGTTCCACAAAATCATGAGCAAAAAATAAGTAGTTATTTTAAGCTGTGGAGTGTTAAAGTCATTTGTTATGAGGCAGTAGTCACTGGAACAGCCACCTTACTTGACCTTCCTATTGCTTTCTTATACATTGCAGAGTTCTAAATATCTTGAATATTAAGACTTAAGACTTTCTGTTCCTTAGGCTTTATGCTGATGAACATGGATTCACCAAGTCTCATCACGAAGGCAGAACAAATAGGTGGGTTTTTAGCACAAAATATGTGCTAGAAAATTAATTGGGAGACATTGGGAAATTTCTTGCCTCCATTTCTTCATCTGCAAAATGAGGATGATAATAATAATAATACTAACCTTAGAGACTAGAAAAAGGGTAGCTGGGTTCCAAAATGCTAAGCAGTATCTAGCACTTACTGGGCTCAGCAATTGTTAATTGTTTTATTGTTACTTCAGCTTGAAGCTCCCTTTGACCCTGCCTCATTGGCTTTCTATCTTACTTCCTTTGCTTCATTTGATATTGGCTAAAGGCCTTGATCCCTGCCTTCCCTGACTGTCTTTGATCTCAAGAGCCGATCACCTGTCCCAAATTGTGCCTGGTCTGGGTGAATTTTGTTTATACCTGTGTTTCAAAATGGTCACATCCCATTTTCTAGGCCATGTTCCCAACACTAAACAGTTCCATTACAATAACAGGGATGAAGCTGTAATGATTAAACAGAGTCCTGGCTGACATTTTCATGCCAAGAATGTCCTAGCAGACCCTTAAGAAATGCTTTCTGCCCCTTTGAGCAATAGCTAATTAAGCAGCACCCTCTCAGTGATGTGTAGCAGGTGGAAAGGACATTGCATTGTACCTAAGCAAAGGTAGAAGACATTTTATGAGCATTTATGAAATCACTAGATCTGACAAGGGGGGGTGATGACTGAGCTTTGAGGTCGGCAATCAGAGAGAGGTAGATGGCTATCAAAACTGGCACAATTCATAATAGTCAAATTATGGAACCAATCTAGGTAAGTGTCAATGGATGAATGGATAAAGAAAATGTGGTATATACATACACAATGGAATTTTACTCAGCCATAAAGAAGAATGAAATTATGTCCTTTACAGGAAAATAGAACTGAAGAGCATTATGTCAAGGAAAATAAGCAGATTCAGAAAAGTCAAGAGTCATATGTTTTCTCTCACATGTGAGAGTTAAAGAGGAAAAAACAAAAAGGAAAAAAAAGGAAGGGGAGAAATCTCATGAAAATTGAAGGGAGATCATAGGGTAGAAGAAAAGAACCAAGGAGGAGGGGAGAGGTACAGGGGAAGGACATTGACCAAGTTATATTTGTTATATTATATGCACGTACAAACATGTAACAATGAATTCCACTATCTTGAATAATTATAACACACCAATAGAAATATGAAAAAAACCTGGGTTGCCTACAAATTGAACCTTCCACATGCAGATAATTGAACATTTGCCATTCAGGCCAAAAAATATAACCAATGTTTATAAGGGTTTACATGATTTTTTTCTCTTATCTATCAGGGATAGCATCTGTAGCAGTCTTTTTTTTAGCAGGGGTTCTGGGATAGGGCACTCTACAGGTGAGTTACAGCCCCAGCCCTTTAAATTTTTTTTTTTTAACTACACGACAGCAGTGGAAAGCATTTCAATTCTTATTACACATATAGGGCCCAATTTTTCATATCTCTGTATATAAAGTATGTTCATGCCATAGCCCCAGCCCCTTTTAATTTTATTTTGAGATAGGCTGTCCCTAAGTTGCCCAGGCTGGCCTCGAGTTTGCCATCCTTTTGCCTCAGTTTCCTGAGTAGCTGAGATTACAGGCGGGTTCCACCATCTGTTTCCATCTTTAATCTTATTTTGGAATATCTCGGTGAGAGAATGTCTGGGAAACAATACTGTTCCCTTCACCCATGCAGGCAGTTAAGAAAGAAAATTTGGCACCCGTGTTTCCAATCTTCCCACTTCTGGGTGTTAGGGCAGAGATGCCCAATGGTGAGAGGCTGCCGAGCACCTGGCCTGGTTGTGTGGGAGGCTGTTCTTGTCCCCACAGTGCTCAACTTGCTACTCAACAGTGGATTTGGAGAATGGCTTGGTCATTGTTCTTTCCTACGTAATGCTCACTAAGCATGCGGTGAATTAGAGATGGCCACCAATCCACTGTCTCTCTGCACCAGGAGGCAGAGCCTGTTTCCCTAGAATGTGGGCTGCCCTGTGACTAGTCACCCAGCAAAAGTGGCAAGTGACGCATGCCCACTCCAGGTCCATCCTTTATGAGGACTGGCAGCTTCCCCTTCTGTCTCAGAACATTTTCTTTAGGAGTCATGAGCCACCTACCAAAAAAATCCAACTACCTTTCTGGAGACCCTACATAGAAAGGAAAGGCCCTGAGACTTACATGGAAAAAGAGAGAGGCTGAGCCATTTCAACATCCCAGTTGAGTCTCCAGTGGACTCCAGCCCCAGTAACTTTCTGACTCCAACTGCATGAGAGACCCCAGTGAGACCTTAGCAGAACTATCCACCTGTGCCCTATCATCCCACAGAACTGTGATAAACAGTAATTAAAAAAAAAAGTCATTCAAATTGGTGTGGTTTATTGTGCAGCAATAGATGACCAAAATGATGGAGCTATCAGGAGTTTTAGCTGGAGGGAGGACAGACTAATCATCTTTTTTTTTTTTTTTTGTGGGGGGAGGTCCCAAAGACCATTAATCTTCAGAAGAAATAAGACTAATCAAGAAATTCTGCTGGGACTTTCTACAGGGTTTAGCCATCGTCAGGAGCCATTGTCTTTCCACTCTGGAAGGGATGACTTAAGTGTCAGGGGGCACTACAGTTAAATAAATCTGAAACAGGCATCTGTTGGTCAAGGTTTCAGAAGAGCAATGTGCATGTGCTGTCATTGTAGAATCACTTTTAGGGAGGTCTCTCTGCTCTCCAGTAAAGGATGCTTGGTACTATTGGAGTTAGCCATCCCAATATATACTAGGTAGGTTTCCCCCAAACTTAGATGCCTCTGTTCCTGGGGGAGCTGACCTCAAATGCTTTGGAAAGGTTTTAAGCCAAGGTGTTAGGAACAAACAAAACAAAACAACAAAAACACTCAAAAGCTCCGGACATCGGTCCATGTACCCTCTTGAAATAATGGGCTGGGGAGTAGCTCAGTGGTAGAGTGCTTGCCTGACATGTGCAAGACCTCCTTTCTTCTTGTGAGAGCCCTCAGCCACTGGAGAGAAAGCTTTCACATCCACTTCAAAACATCTCACACATCAGAAAATACGGAGGCATTGTTGTTGTGCTGGTATTTAATGAACCCTGACAAAGACAACACAGATTTTAAGCACACTGGCTTCCCTTGTTTTCCCCATCAATTCTGCTTCAAAGCCTTGCATTAGTCAACATCGTGTTCTTTGAGGATCTGCAGAAAGGAAAGGCTCTATTGTTTCATCTCCGTGCAGCCTTTGTATGTGATGAGACCAATAATGCACAGTGGAGCTTTTTACTGGGGGGCTTGGTTGGCTGATGAAGGACAGAAGCATGTTCCCAGTGAAAAGACGGTGATTCTACAGAATTTTAGTGGAGTCAAGGACATGTGTAGTTGGAAAATCACCAATTCCTCCAACTCATGGGTTTCAATACCACAGAAATGAAAGTTTTCAAGTTAAAAAAAAATGAAGTTCTGTTACGTCTTTGTCTGGAAGACATTCAGGATAGAATAATAAAGGGGGGGTGGTTATCTGTAATGAAATGTATTCAAGGGCTCATTCTGAAAGTAGTATTGAAGTCAAATTTCGCCAAACCCTGATTCTGTTGCTAAAAAGCTATTTCATGAATCCAGAAGCATCCTGTCTAATAGGAAATTTTTGTGATGATGGAAATAGAATTGAACTAAATTTCAGCAGCTGAATTAATCTGTGTGGCTATTAAGAACTTGAAATGATGGGTGGGGATTAGGTCAGTTGTATAGTGCTTGCCTAGCCCTGGAATCTATCCTCAGAACCATAAAAATCAAAACAAAACAAAACAAAACAAAAAATCAAACAAAACTTGAAGTGAACTGAGTGTGATTAAAGAATTGAATTTTTATTTAGCTTGAACTAATTTAGTATTAAATGTATGTAGTTACGTATAGTTGGTGTCTACTACATTGGATAGTGTAGCTCTAAAAAAAATAGTAAATATAAATAGATTGAGAAGACATTTTAAGATGAGGTATAAACTGTAGCCCAATAAGAAATTATGGTTGAATGACAGGTAGGTGTTGTTTATTTAGTCTCTTATTTATTAATTGAAAACAATATTTATTAAGGGTGTCATCAGGTTTAAAGACCACGGATTTGGAGAAAGGCGAAGATTTGGTTACAATGAAGTATGGTCATCAGGCCAAATATCAGAGAGGCTGATTCTGTCTCCTATTAGCATTTCCCAAAACAATGAATCTTTTATATTCTGAAGGCATGCAAAGACACACTTGCTTCCAAATGATGCAAAGGCTTCAAAATACTCACCATCATCCATAATTCCAATGGTCACACCTTTCCCAGTGTATCCCAGCTCCCAGGCTTCTGCCACATTCAAATCAAGCCCTGGTGTACCATCTGCTTGCCCAGTGTTGATCTGTACCAGACCAAAGCAGAGAATCTTATTAGGCTGGTGTTGTAAAGCACACATGTAGTTTGTTTGATGTTCTCCGCAGCCATGTGATAGTCTAGGGCCAGCATCAGGGCCACATCTTCCATAAAACAGTACTTTTGGGTGCCCCCTCCATCTCTTACAGCCTTCCCTCTCTATTTTTTCATATAAACAATTGATGTTTTCTGTTTTATGTAAATACGCAAATGATGTTTCATATCTGTCATCTCTTAAACTAGATGGCTGTCTTTAAGCTCATTCTATGTAACATGTTTAGAGTTTTCATTGCAAGAAACCCTCCTTGAGACAGAATTAAATGCTTAGTATCATAGCTCTTTGTGTATACTTCACATTTTGAATGCAGCACACACCATCTTGGTTTATTCTTATTTAGATATAATTTTCCTTACAAAAAACAATATCTTTTGCACATCCTTTGGAAATTTAGTACCATCATACCAAGTCTTGCTCAAAAATATTTGTTGAACTGAATTAGATAGGTGGGTCACCTTTAGTACAATGTTCTAATACAGATAAAGCCTTCACAAAATTTAAAAGAAATGAGAGATGAAGAAAAATTCCACATTAATATGTTCATTGCTCTCTTTTCCTGAATCTTTGTCTTGTGCAAGATTTTCTCAAAGATGGTTGTAAAAAGAAAAAGTACTGAAGTAAGAGTTTGTACTGGCAAAAGCCCACAGTGATTGATGCTGTTCTGGTATTATTGAGACATTGTGTGAATTGCATTAGTGTTCTTCATACAAGTTACTGCTATTCTCCTTCCAGGCACAGGTTAAAACTATATGCTACACATCCTTTGAAGTTATAATGGCCATGTAACTGGTTTTGGCTAATGGCATGTGAGCTCGTGTGCTGTTTGCCACCTCCAGGCAGAAGCTATAAGAGATAATGCATAATTTGCCCCCTTTCCTTGCTGAGGTGCTTATAAAAGCAGTGAGGATGGAATTTAGATTGTGCTTGGTCATCTTGAGCCCCTGAAGGATTATGAAACATTAATTATGTAGCAAGAATGAGACACAATCTTTGATTTGAGATTTGTTTATTACTGTGACAAACCTAACCTGTTCTAATATAATAAACTCATCCAATTCCATATTGCACTTTCAAAATTCCATGCTCTAAACCATAAGGCATATATATAGTCAAGCTCTGACGCTCCAGGAGGGAAACTGTGATGCATTCCTGTGATGTAGCCGTCCATAGGACTGTAATTTAATTTTCTCTCTTGTTTAACATATTTTAAATAAAACAAAGCTCCATTTATATTTATAAATTAGCCACTCTCTTTACAAAAGCATGCCCTACAGTTTGGGTTGGTTTAGAGTCTCTGATCTCCTTTTAAATATGACCCAACCAATCCACATGGATCATGGCAGACTGCTGGTGAGCCAGAAAATATTCACTTCATCCGACAGATTGAATTTCAATGCCTCAAGTTCTGCATCAATTAAACCTCATGGAATTGATTTGCTGCCATTGTTTAGGAAGCACTAAGAGATGCTGTTTTGCTACATTAGTCTCTGGGTTGTATTGTTCACCCCTTGTGAAGTCACCAGGTTCTTTACCTTTTGCCAGTGACTTTGTTGTGTCCTCTTATTACTTTACCTATTGAGATCCCTGGATTATTATTCCCACATTTTAAATTTGACTGGTATATATTTTGGCAAGTCTTGATTCACATAAGGGTGCCCTTTTTTTTTTTTTTGGCATCTGGAAGAATATGCTCAGCTGTTGGGAGTAGCTTTGACCTTAGAAGATCATTGCTACTTAGCAGTTCAGGAAGAAAGCAGATTAGGGGATGAGATGCCTAGCAATGAGAGAAAATAATGCATTGCACCAGATGCTGGTAAGATCCCACTGGATAATGAGGAAATAGAAATATATCTTTTATGCAAAATTTCAACAAGAGAGACCCTTACCAGATACCACTGCTTTGTAAAAAGAGGATCATTCATGTTGATGTCAATATCGTTGATGTCTCTGTATCCTCGCTTTTTTCGGTCAAATCCTTCCTGTTGCAAGGCCATCTTTACCTGGAATGACAATGCTGGTAAATTACCCAAACACCCTTTTCTGGAATTCATTCCCATGGATTCAATTTTCATTTGTAAATGACTTTAAAAAAAAATCTTTCCTCAGCAAAAGGAAGTTCACCTCATGTAACTCTCACTTCACGATTATTTCCCAAGAGCATTTACTTGTGGTTGCACTGAACAAACAGGCCTTGGTGATGGTCTCAAAGTGGAGTACCTTAAGATTAGAATTAGATGGAGAAAAGTATTCTCAAGGAAGATAAAGAGGTAAGGGTCATTAAGTGAAATAAAAGAAAACAACAGAATATATCTATTAAGGAAAGGAGATTGATGTGGATTCAGGGAGGCAGAAATTGAGAACTGCATCACTCTCATTTCTGGAGGGCTTCCTAGCCTTTGGGTTTGTTGATGGTACTGTTTATCACACTTGGGAGTCAGTCAAAAGGAAAAAAAAATCAAAACCTCAAAACTAAACAAAAGAAAACCTACCTGTTGAAGAGCCAGAACAGCAGAGTTCTAGAAGGTAAGTAAGAGACCTTTGAAAGTAAATTCATGCATGGTGCTGCTGTCCTTGTATTGACATTTTATTTTTGGACAGTCAGATAGAACCCCAAGGTCATGAATGGAAATTAAATTTAGGAGCTGAGTTAGTTCAAGCAGGCTCCTGGCCATGGTGAAGCTTTGTCCGAATCAGGAAACTCTCTCACTTAGGCATTCACTACTTTATCATTCAATAGTTGTGGCCAGTGTGACCATCTATGACACAAGGAGTAGGCACCAGTATGAAAGTGTGTGCTGGATATTTATTATTATTTTTATTATAATTTTTGGTACACATTCATTTTCCTAGCTATCCCCAGAGTAATTGAGGGGACTTCCTCAAATCCATTAGTATTGGTGGGAGTAAAATTCTAGGCATCTGACTACTCTAAAGACACTGAGAACTCCTTAAGTCTCACAATTCATTCATGGCTCTCTCTCTCTCTGTCTCTCTCTCTCTCTCTCTCTCTCTCTCTCTCTCTCTCTCTTTCTCTCTCTCTCTCTCTGAATTTTCAGAAAGTGATGCAAGGGCAAGGAGGCCTGGGAGTCCACTTATTCCAGAGGTTCACTCACCAGACTTTACCTGTAAAAGGATCCTGATTATGGTTTTCTCAGCCCCACCCCAAAACTCTTCCAAGACTGATTCTTCAGCTGCCTATTGATTGTGAGTCCCTGATATCTTCTGCATGCAGTCAATAACCCTAACTGATATGGGATGAGAGTGAGGCCACAGGGGCCAAGTCAAGAGTGATGGTTGGAAGAGAAGAATAAAGAGATCCCTTGTGGCTGGGGGTATTGTGGAATGAAATTGATCAAATTATGTTACATGCCTATAAAAATATGGCGTCATGAAGCCCACTATTCTGTATAATTTAATGTGCACCAATAAAAATATTAAAAACAAAAACTCTTCCCTCCAATATTGCCCTGGACTGTGGAAGAACTTGGGGAAGATGAGTTCCTCACTCTTTCAATTTGCACACCTACCCATGAAGTCCTGGGTACATTTTTTTTTCTAGAAAAATTTAAACTGTCAGAAATTCTCTACATGTAAGAAAAGAGTGTTATGTGTGATATTGGCTCTGTGAGTTCTTGGATTATTTCCAAAAGAGACATTCATAGTGGCATGGCTTTAAAAAATTCCCTCCAAAGAAATAGTGAAATAATTTTTAAAATGTTTGGGTGGGTAGTTTTATAATGTGTAGAGCAGATAAAGTCATGTCCATCAAATGAAGACCAATTCTGATTCAAATATGCATATATGTATATGTACTTATAAATATATAAAAATCATGTATATAAGTTACACATAGGAACTGGGCGTGGTGGCCTGTAATCCCAGATGCTCGGGAGGCTGAGGCAGGAGGATCATGAGTTCAAAGCCAGCTTCAGCAAAAGTGAGGTGCTAAGCAATTCAATGAGACCTTTTCTTTTAAATAAAATACAAAATAGGGGCTGGGGATGTAGTTGAGTTCCCCTGAGTTCAATCCTTGGTACCAAAAAAAAAAAAAAAAGAAAAATTACATACATACATACATTTACTACCATCAACATCACCACCATTAAGAAGCAGATGCCAAGATGGAATGAAATGTAGAAGAATTTAATTAGGAGAGAAAAGATAAGAAATTTTGTTGTAAGTCTGACCCCAAGAAAAGGAAAGAGTGAACAGTTGTTTAGCTATATCCTTGACTATAGTTAAGGAAACTTTGCCACCTAAGGAAACTTTGGCAAGACTGCAGAAGATTCGAATTTGATTGTTAGAGGAATCCTGGGTTTTCAAGGGATGGGCCTGCCCTAGTATCCTTTCCTGGCTCAGTAACTGGCCAGGAGCAGCTATGGGAAGTGATAGATTTCAGAGTGCAGCAGTTGGAGTCCTTGGTCAGTTATTCTCCCTGAAGCCAGAGGTCTGCAGGGCATATTCTCGTAGCTGCCACAGAATGCGTACGTGTGTGCATGTGCATGTACATTAGTGTGCATGTGCATATACATTAATGTAGGACATTTGAAATGCCTAAGTAAATGCATAGATTTCAACCTGGAAAGATCATTACAGCATGCATCTCCTGAAATCTTCTTTTACTGTGGAAGCAAGTATTTAAACAAGAGTGTTGCTTTAGTTTGGGAAGAAAGGAGCCTGAATTCAGTCATGGCATCTTCCTTTGTGGGTCCCACAGTGAGGGCTTTGTCGGCTCTACTCATTAAAGGGAGACTGGCTAGCTTCCATTGAGGTATTCTCCTTCTATTGGATTCATTGCCATGAGTCATTTCCCTGAGATAGCACCTTTCCTTGCCAGGATTTTCAGGAAACAAGAGCATCAGTGTAGAAATTTGAAAAATCTCATCTATATGTTGTTTCCCAGATGCCCAAGAACAGAAAGACTTGCACCAGTTTTCATCTTTTTAAATATCAGTGCAGGAATGTTCTACTACAATCACTCCAAACTCAATTAGACCAAGTGTCCTCTAATGAAAAGATTACTTTAGTTCATTTTCATAAAATTAATTTTTTAATTTCATAAATGAGATTTTAATGGAAATCAGTCATGCTTTGGAATGCTGCAGTCTCTGGATACCACCTTGCAGCTCAGGAACTTAGAAATTATGACACTGGAGAAGGTTTTCTAAGTCTATTAATTTATCTTTCTGTCCTCAGTGAAGATCACAGTTATATTTCAAAAGAGATGAACACCTTTATAAATATATATTTTTCATATTTTGCATACAAATAACTGAAGAACACTTTTTATGATACCATGCAACCCTATTATTTTTATTTTTCTGGGTTCTAATTTTTTAATTTCTTTTTTTTAAGATAGAGGAGAGAGAGAGAGAGAGAGAGAGAGAGAGAGAGAGAGAGAGAGAGAGAGAGAGAGAGAATTTTTTAATATTTATTTTTTAGTTTTCGGTGGACACAACATATTTGTATGTGGTGCTGAGGATCAAACCAGACCACACGCATGCCAGGAGAGCGCGCTACCACTTGAGCCACATCCCCAGCCCTCTGGGTTCTAATTTAATCTTAATTCACATTAATATGTAATCATAATCATACTATAGATAAAATTGTGTATTCTTTATTTACTGTGTATCTTATCACATGAATTTTAATGTTCTACTATATAGTCATCATATTTTAATTTCTATACACCCAAAGAGACTTATACTATAATTTGTCCAACTATTTCTTTCTTATGGTCAGTTGGATTGTTTCCTATTACGATTGAAATTATTATGACCAGAGATGTGGTTATAAACTATTTTTAAAGACATATGGGGAAGATTTCAGTGTTACAATTCTGTGTCTGGTGAAGCTCTTATACCATCAGAGAAGTGCCACAGAAGTATTTTTTAGTGTCTAAACCATGTTCCTAGCATGATAACTAAAATTCCCCTGACTTATTTTCTCTTCTTTCTCAATTTTAACCTTTCATGTCTGATGTCTGTTATTGCCATTTAGATGTGATTCCAATGATGCACACACAACTTAATTAGAGCTTCTTCCCTTTCTGAAAAAAATAACGTACCTTTCACTGCAGTATTTAGTCTCAGAATACTTCTGCAAACTGCATCATTAACATAAATATGAGTACAAATAAAAAAATAATGAAAAATATGGAAGAGCAGGAGTGCTTATTACCAGGTATTATTTTTGTTGAAAATGAACAGATGGATAGTACACAATTCTGGTTCAACTTTGAAATCTTAGTTTGGTTTGTGTGACCAATGTAACTCAAGCCATCCTATCTGCCTGGGCCCCTTCCAGTGCTCCTTATCTGGATTTCTTAGTCAACCGATGTTTTGTGTGTGTCGGCAATATGCCAGTTATGGACCACACCAAGACAGAGCAGAAAATATCCCCCACATTTGCAGACTATTTTATAGTTAGCAAGGCACTTTCATTACCATTATCTTCCCAACAGACCTGTGGGGTGAGTATTATTACAGTTGAGGGAATGGAGACTCAGAAACTATTGTCCAACAGTTCAAAAACATGGCACACTCCCTGAGGTTGACGGATTCTAGGTGTTACCAACTTTCTACTAAGCCGCATTGCTTTTCCCTAAGGGCACGTAACACAGTCAACCTTCCAGTATCTGGGTCAGCTTAAAGGGGGATGCAACTTTCCCAGGACCTGGGCCATGATCACTTTCCTGCTGGGCTGATAATTAAACAGCTGTTAATTAGCATTGAGTATTCTGGGTAAGGAGAGGCTAGGAGAAGTAGGACCAAGGGTGATACCTGTCTCCAAAGGGGCTGATGAAACATTTTGCTTGAAGTAAGTGTAAGAAAAGAAATAAAAAACACAAAACTACTTATTAATTAAATTAATTAAAATTTAGTAATCCATGATGCTGTGAACTGAGATCATAAAATGGCTGCACTTTGGTTCATAGCCACCAGAATAGAGCTGAGGAGCCTATAGGGAGTCAGGTCCATGCACATGAACAATAGAATAT